TAGGCTACACCACGTAGCCTAGGTGTGTAGTAAGCTATGCCATCAGGGTTTGTGTGAGTGCACTCTATGATGCTCACACGACAAAACCTCCTAATGAGGCGTTTCTCATTAAGTGACATGTGACTATACTTACCCCTTCTCTTTTCCCTTCCATGTTTGCCCTTAATTCTATCTTTCTGTGTCAGTTGAAGGTTCATTTGCTGAAAATAAAAAAAAACTCTCTAGTTATTTTAATCAGAAAGGAATGTAATAGAATTGTTATAGAATTGTTTGAAAGATCTGGAAGGGCCTCCAGGAATGGCATCAAACCACACTGCAGAACTGGCCGCCCGAGGGATTGACAGCATTTGCCACAGTCAGGAAGCCACTGGGCCCACCGCTGGGTTCAGGGCTGCGTACTGTAGCTGTGGTCTGAGATTAAGGAGCTGCCAGCAGAACTGCTGAATCAGAGTCAAATCACCAACCAGGTCTGCACCAGCAGCACAGGGCTTCGCAGTTTGCTGTCTCTTTCCGCTCAGCTCGATTCCAATACAAGTTGCTTGGAGTGCACCTGCCGTGCTAGAACTGTCTCACCCGCAACCCTCGCTGCAGGAGAGCCTGAGAAGTGCTGTTTTCTCTTTTCAGCCTCCACCATGCACAAGGTACACTAGGAGCAGCTCGGGACAGAAGCTGAGCAGTCCAACCAACACTTCTGTCTTCCCAGTGGCAATTGATTTACTCAGTTATTAGTAACGTTTCTTATCTATTTACTTCATCTCTAGACATCTTCTCCAGTCTTTTTTCCATTTCACTGTTTAAATTTCTGCATTTTTCCAGGAAGATTTTGCTTCCTGCAATAAAGAATCTACTTGGGTTACTATTGTTTTTACTCCGTTGTATTCTAGTCCCTGTTTTCTTTTGCCTTTTCATCCTGAAAGTGTCCTATCACTATTTGCTGTTGATTTCCAGAAATACGGTACCACCATAAACACGAATTCCCAACAGATTATGAACTCAGCTTTGGTACTAGGAAACTGCCTCTCAGGGGCTGAGGTTGGAGTTCAGGATGTGGATAATTCCTTTTCACGGTGGAATTATTCCTTCTTGAAACTTTAGCTGCCATCGTCATTTCTCTTGCTGTGTCTCCAGCGACCATTCTGACTGCTCCTCTGGTGTTAGTTGAAGGATACAGACCTCCCTGAGGCTTTGGTCGAAGAGCCAGCTGCCATGCTTATTAGATCTTGTCTCACAGGCAGCAGGAATTTTTGCCAAATGCCTAAAGTAAAAAATTGAGGAAGGGCTGGAGCTTCAGAAAGAGCTGATAGGTCACAGACTACTTTACAGTTTCCACAAAAAAATCTCTGAAACTTTCATTGTTGCCTGGGACCATCTCTTTTCCTCTCTCTTAGTTATTGTCAGGTTCCTGAGAGTTCATTGCACGGATTAAAAATAGTCCCACACATGATAGGCTAGATTTATGCTAATTTTCTCTTTTCCATATATTTCAGTAGATTGTACTAGTGGAATTTAAGGAAGAGGTTGTCTTGTTTCTCCCACTTACTCTGACATTTTTTAAGAGGGCTTGTCAATGAGTTATACACGAAAATGCAGCGCCTGAGATAAAATTTAGTTCTACTGATAGCAAGCTGACCTGAGTGATATGCCATATACACAACACAAAATAGTCTCAGTACAATATTTGTGAACATTCAAATCTGATACCGACTTTCTAGTTAGTCATGAAAAACTTAGAAATGAAGAAATAATAACAGAAGAGAAAACGCTTTTTTCATTTTGCAAGATATTTTTATTCATAAAACTAAATTAGCATACCTGAAACTCTTCTCAGATGATCTATGAAATGCAAATAATGTGAAATTTTCCAGAGAAGTCTTAACTTTCCATTTTCATATAATTGTAGTAAAATAAATCTTTCCTGGCATAGATCAAGAAGTGGTAATCAATGAAACACAGTACTGTATTTGGTAAATGTTTATATTACCAATATCTCTTAGTTATGTGGTCTGATTAAATTGAGAAACACAGAAAGGGAACAGAATATTTTATGGATAGGAGCTCATTCATGGTCTAATGTGTTAGGAGTGGAATGAGGTCTCTAAAGGCATATTCTCAAAGGAAAAGAATTACATTGTGTGCTCACACAGGTATGCTGTGACAAATCACAATTTACAAAAGATAATTTTGGATTTGTGACACATTGAGTCATAATATTGACTATTTTCCAATCTTTAAAGAATATTTAAATACAACTCTAAAATAATGAAAGAGGAAGAAGGAAAAGTTCACAAAACAAAACCTGTCTTCCCCTAATCACCAGTTTATGGACTAACCAGGCAAACTTTGATCACCTCTGCCTAGGCTCTTCCATTTCCTCCTTTCTTTGCTTACCACACAGATGATTGTTGTTATGCTACTCTCCTCTCCTCTTCCTCTCCTCACTCCAGGGTTTGTGGTAGAGAATTTAGACTATTTACTGGAAAGGCAATTTGTGTAATGATTAAAAACACAGGTTATGGATTTCCTGGGTTCAAATTCTGGTCCTAGCTGTGTGATTTTAGGCAAAGTGCCTAAGTTCTCTGATTCTCAGTTTTCTTACCTATAAAATGAGGGTAACGGCCGTCCATCTGTACATGTATCAGTGGAAGCACATTTATGCTTCTTATAGAGATTTTGTAGGTATAAATGATATAAGGATGTAAAAGACTATGCCGTGGTGGGGCAGAGAATATAATGATACATCTGTTTTATCAACGTAAAACTTCTCTGATTCTCCAAAGGATACATTTTCTGTTTGGATGCTAGCCCATTTGATTCCACTGAGTGAATGATATTGTCCTTCAAAAATATGCTTTATTAGATACCTAATCTTTTCTTGTAAATACATTTCAAGGGATGAAATGTGAATAACTCTAACCTTAACGTAAATGTTCGTTGTTGGGTATCTTTTTATCCTTGATTTAGTAACAACTCTCTTATAACCCTTCATTTTAAATATTTCATGCAATATAAAACAAAACAAACATGTTTGACAGTTAAATGGATATTTTCAAAATAAGGTGAAAATTCTCTTTCTCGTTGCTTTTGTTGCTTCCTTATAGCCTTGGAAAATTTAGTTTAGTATTTTGCAACAAATTAGTATGTTCTTTCCCCCAGAAGTATTGAGATTGATTTGTTAGAAAAGGATAAGTCCTTCTATAGATTATAATTTATGACAACAAAAGGATGGGCCTTCCCAGAATAAAACTAACTGAATCAATTCAAATTTCAATAGTGCCATTGCTTTGGCTCATAAAGACATTATTTTGCTTTCGAGAGTATCATTTGAAATGTAAATTCATTTGCCAATATAAACTTTAAACGTACATCAGTTAGCATATGAATTATCATCTAAGATCTTAGCAGGAATTAGTGGGTAGCTATTAGAGATAAATTGAAATATGTTTCATGCCTAATCAGAAGTGAGCCTGGCTATGAAAATGTTCTTCAAAAATGTTGCTTTCCTGATTTTGACCTCTCTGGACTCAGAATCTTTATTTTAATAGAGAGGGATCACCCTTGATAGAAAAGAATCTAAAACAGTATCTTAAAGTGTTCTTAAATCTAAGATTGTATGATCAGGACACATGGTTGATTGAGAACTATCTATTAAGCTCATATTATAAAATGGAATCTAAGCACATTAGCATTATTTGGGGTCCCAGCAGGAAATAGGTGGCACACTCAAAGAAGTCGTTCAAGATAATATAATTCAGGGACTATAGGTAGACTTAAGCGCACCAGCAATGATAATGAAGGACCCAGAAACCCAGAGATTAGAAGCAGAAAGCTATTATCACCCTTAGGCCCAAAGGTACAAGGGGATAGCATGTGCTGTTGGAACCTAACGAGCGTTAAGGCAATGGTACGGGGCAGACTGGCAGACCACACAGCAGAGCCTCCGCCAATTCATGGCCAGGCAGGTCCACCAGGGAGCGCAAAGGCCCTGACCTCTCCTTTCCTTCTCTTTCATCTCTACTGGTGCTTCCTGTTGGCCGAATCCAAGCAGGAGCCAGAGCACAAGGGAGCCCAGCCAATGTGGTCGCCAGAGGCCAGTCCTCCTCCCCTTCCACCCACACACAGGGGAGGGCAGATGGAGAATGATCAGCACAACGTTTTGCCATAATTATAATTATAAAGGATATCAATCCTTAGTTATTCCTCACTAAAGAGCCATGAGAACCCTCTGCCACTATTCTACTTCTCTGAATCTCTCTTCTTCCAGGGTCTGAAGTTCTCTCCTCACTTTATGTTCACTTAGTGTTCTACATCATTCTGTGCTAGAATATGATGCAGTCCTTATAGCAGGGCTGTTTTTATTTTTTTTGAAGAATAATCTCTGTTTTCTTTTCTTTCTTTTTTGCTGAAGTTTGCTTAGTGCCATGTCTTGAATAGTTGATTTTAGTCCGGGCTGCTCTCTTGAACATGTTCCCACATATCCTGGCTTCCTGAATTCCTCACTATCCTGGGATGGCTTTTATCAGCCCTTTAGCTGTACAGCTCTCTCCTTAAAACCAATTGTCCCGTCCTACATCTTCTTAGCAATGGGAGGGGATTTTAAAATTTATTTTAATGGAAGAGATCACTTTATTACTTGGGGTAAAATGGTACAGTGGAATAATTATTTTTTAATGTATAATCAATGTAAGCATCTAGCATCTTTCCCCATTTTTCTCTATTCTTTATTTCTTTTATTCTAGTTCCTTTACATTGATTTACTTTCCTTTTTTCTGTTTATTTACAATATTTGGATTAAATTTTGGCATTTTGGTACATAATAAGTTGTGTGTGTGTATTTGGGGAGTGATGAGACATGTTTAAGATGGTCTTATATGTTAACAGGTGAATTAAAAATCAGGGCTGGTTTTACAGATTGCAGATCTGTTTACCTCTGTTTCTCAGAGATAGTGGCATGCTTTTTACAGGTTCTGTTGTTCTAACTATGCCTTTCTCACTCCATTCAGATTCGAAACCAGAGCAAAGCCTCCGGGTCCGGGCTCTGTGAGGGGGATGAAGTGGTTTCTATCAATGGCAACCCTTGTGCAGACCTCACATACCCCGAAGTCATCAAGCTCATGGAAAGCATAACAGACTCTCTCCAAATGCTCATCAAAAGGTATAACGGATTTGTTGAAATGTGTATTTCCTCTTGAAATTCGATGGGAATGATTATAGCTTCTACCACAAAATTCATTTATGGGAAAACCAGGAGTGCTTTGTAAAATAGTTAAACGGGAACACCACAGTGTTTGAGAAATGGGAAATTCTATTCAACTAAACTTTCTGGTTTATTGATGATTAAGGTGAAAATCTTTGTTTCACGCACTTTGGTAAAAATCTTAGATATTTTAGACTACTCACTTAGAAAAGTTGGTATATTGAGGAAAATTTAATACTTCTTTGATAGGTCAAGATTTTGTGATGGATCAGGATTACTCAATTATAATTCCCAGATTCATAGATGAATTTAAAAAGTTTAAATATTAAACCATTAAACTGTATAATTTTTTATTGAAAGTGGATGCTAGGACATGGAAAAAAGCAACAGCAAAAAACTTAAAAACAGCCAGATGTCTGCGTAGCAGGATCTCCAATAAAGTGGATTTTGGGGTATGGACAAAAGCAGGTGACTAGAGTAAGGCTTCTACACTGTCGGTGCAAACAGACAACCTACAGAATGGAAGAAAATATTTACAAACTATACATTCGACAGAGGGCTAATATCCAGAATCTATAAAGAACCCAAACAAATCAGCAAGAAAAACAAAACAAAACAAAACAAAACAAACAAACAAACAAAACAGCCCCATGAAAAAGTGGGCAAAAGACATGAGCAGCAGTTTTTCAAAAGAAGATAGAGAAATGGTCTACAAACATGAAAAAATGCTCAACATCACTAATCATCAGGGAAATGCAAATTAAAACCACAATGAGATACTACCTTACTCCTGTCAGATGGCCATTATTAAAAAGTCAAAAAACAAGAAATGCTGGTGTGGATGCAGAGAGAAAGGAACACTTAGACACTGTTAGTGGGACTGCAAATTAGTACAAAGTCTATGGAAAATAGAGTGGAGATGTCTCAGAGAACTAAAAGTATATTTACCATTTGATCCAGTAATCCCGCTACTGGATATCTACCCAAAGGAAAAGAAGTCATTTCATCAAAAAGACACATGCACTTGAAAGTTTATCGCAGCACAATTCACAACTGCAAAGATTCATAAGTGGATTAGAAAATGTGGTAGGTATATACCATGAAGTACTAGTCATCTATAAAAAGGAATTAAATAATGTCTTTTGCAGCAATCTGGATGGAACTGGAGACCATTATTTTCAGTGAAGTATCTCAGGAATGAAAAAACAAACACCACATGTACTCTCTAATAATTGGGAGTTAAATGATGGCCACACAAGAGCACAAAGAAACGTAAAGACCATTGGAATCCAAGAAGAGGGGAGGGTGGAAGGGGTTGAGGGGTAAAAACTTACTTATTGGGTACAGTGAACACTGTTCTTATGATAAGCACACCAAAAGCCCCGACTTAAGCATTATACAAAGTATACGTGCAACAAAAACATTTGTACCCCCTTAATATTTTGAAATTTAAAAGAATACAGAAGAAAAAATTAAACATAAAAACAAAAGAAAACAATGAGGGCAATAACAAAAAACTATAGCATTGACATTTTTACAGTGTACAAATCACAGTACAGTCCATACTGATTTTGCAGCTGAAGCCCTGACCATTGCATTATAATAAATCTGGAAAGGAAAGCTCTGGCTTCCTGGAGAACAGCCTTTAAGAAAGTGTTAGAGGGCATCTCAAAATGAACCTCAAAGCCTTCTAGGTTTTGCCTCAACTCTGCAGTAACACTACATACAGCATTACCCTTCTGAAAATCACTCAGTATGATTCCATTTCAAAATAAAAATGAACTCACTATTGCCAAACTCTTGTGACAATAAGGGAAATCTAGCATTATTCTTGTAATCTCCTATCTAAATATTTACCCATCAAATCCAGTATTTAAGGCCTTAGAATCCTACTTGTTTATAAAGCTGCCATTTGCTTTTAAAATGGGTCCAACAGAAATGTTGCCAAGTATAATCACAGTGTGCATTATCATGTATAAATCTCTGAAGTATTTGAAGATTTCCATCTCTGTAAAGGTTTAATCATATCTAAAATGGGGAAAAATCCCTTTCTAATTTGTTCCCTTTTTTGCGTCCTTACTGATTTAATGAGGCCAGTGTCTCTGGAATGCATTTGTGGTCTGGAACATCCCTACTAGTTCTTGTTTTGATTATGATAGCTGTCACTGGGAGAGTCAAGGGGGTGGGGGGTTTAGCACTGAGTCTCAGTACATATTTACTTTCAGAAATAAATGGACTAGTTCTCTGCTACTTTTAATAACTGGAATCATAGTTATTATTTTTTCTTCATAGTATGACTTTTTAAAAAATAAATAATAATTGATGGGATTCAAAATGTAATCCCCAATTAAAATCAGCCCCAAGGCAATCATCATCATCATCATCCACCACCACTCTGGGTAGCTGAACATTGTTTCCTGCAATTAAATATTTCTCTCATATCACTGTCATCTCTCATTAGAGGACAAGTGTTTTACTTTTCCTGTACTATTGCCCAGAGATAGCTGGACTAGGTTATTTTAAAATAACTCCTTTAACATTAAGTTTCTATTATCTTAACTTTTATTAAAATTATTAGGCATAAAAAGTAAATGATTATATAATTATGACATATAAATCTTGGAATTCAGTACCTATGTAGACTGAAATGAGTATTTTAAGGTATAAAGCTTTTCTCTCTCTTTCCTTCTCTTTCTCTCTATCTCTCATGCTTTTATGATTTTTATTTGTGTCTATACGTTTTACTTCGGCTACCAATAAATGTTAACATGTATCTAGCCCATTTGTCTGAATTCCAGTCTATAAAGCTGGAATGAATTGAAATTACCCTCTTCTCAGCTCCATAATTGATTGTTAACATAATTCAAAGTGATTTAATCTACTTCCATCCCAAAGCCTTCCTAAATTAAAACTCTCTGACCTTTTGATACCCTCAAATTCAGTTTAACGGGGTATATGTATCATTTTCTCTGTAAGAATCATCTAATTTTCTATCATCGTGTTTTTTAAATACTGTATTATAATTTTTTAAAATACTATATTACCAGGAAGCTTTTCAAATTACTTACATAGAGAAAGCTACATTTTGTTTGATTGTTAGTTTTTGTTTTGTTCAGTTTTGTTTTACCCAATGCAGTCAAAAGCAAAGTTAGGGAGTAAGTATTTCAAACATTGGTCTGAAATTCCACTACCACATAAATTCCAAGGTAAATTCCTTTGAGTAAAGTAGAATTAGGAGCTCACTCCCTTCAATTGACGATCCCTGCATTAGTCATGGTGTATTTTCAGGGAGGAGGGAAGGGGCAGAGATAGCTGCTACTGCTTCTTTAAAAAAAAAAAATGCACAAATGTAAGAAGTGAAGGCATCTCCTACAGCTATTCTGTGAATGATAATTCTCTTCTAAAAGCATTTAGAGTTTAAATTAGAGTTTTAGAAAGAAGTTGTTTAATTCCAAAACGGACATTGCTTCCTCTCACAAAGTCAAATTTGCAAAACCAACTGGGAATGGTTAAGGTCAAAATCAAAGAACCGTGGTGTGCAGCTCTGGCCTCCTTAGCTGAAGGATAAAGGAACAGTTCGACTTCAGATACTCTAAAAGGAAAATGCTCCAAGAAACAGGTTCAAATAGAAGAAAGGGAGGCAACTCGGATTATAAATACTCCATGACTTAATGATCCATTGCAGCATGGAAAGGATTTCTCTTTACACAAGAGCACTGGGCTGGGGTCCACTTATTACAAAACATATGCTCATTGGAGCTTGACAAATAGCTCCTATTTCATTCCTTTCGAGAAAGCACAGCCTCTAAAAGGATTACTTGAGTTATCTGTAAGTTGAGATGATCTGTAGCTGCTGGATATGTTTATGTGACTTTCACCAAAATTTAGTCAATAAGACATTGAAATGTTTTGTCACTCTGGAGCAAACCCAGTACAGGAGAGACCCAAATCCACAAATAATTACAGATAGAGGGCATCTGTGTGGCTACAACCTGGGCTTTTTAAACATGAAAGCTGACTTTAGGATGGATTTAGGTTTCATAATCTTTTGTAAGCACTTTCGTTGTGCTTTAAAGAAAAGTGTATTTGGAAGCTCTTTAGACAATAATATGAACATGTTGCCAATTTACTGTTTTCAAATATGTTGCAGTTGACATTTAGGAGGGAATATTTTGAAATATATCATGTATTAGACATCATAAAAGTGTCGGGGAATTCTTTGGCGGGTGTAACACACTCTGATTTAAGTGTCTGGAATTATTTTTCTGTGTGCAGACCATCCAGTGGAACAAGTGAGGCTTTGATCTCTGAAACTGAAAACAAAAACCATGAGCATCTCACACAGGAGGGGTCTGCAGAAAGTACCACTCTGCAGATTCGACCAAGCACAAAGACCCAGTACAGAGAGTTCTTCATCGCCCCAGTCAAGAGTGGAGTTTCCCTAGCTGAGGACCAAAGAAGTGGTCCTGGTTGTAAAGAGAACTTAAAAGAAGAAACAGGCCTGAGCTACCAAAGGGCTCCTCAAATGCCTGACTCCCAAAGCGGACTCTTGGCAGAAGAAGTTATCTTAAGGGAGAAGGCAGAAGTGGGGCGGCCAGGCACGGTGGTTGAACTACAACTGTCCCTTTCACAGGAGAGACACAAGGACACTAGTGGCCCCACAGTGGCTCTCCTGGGAGCTGAAAAATCTAAGTCTCCTGACCCAGACCCTAACTTACAACAGGACGAGATTGTCCACATAAATTCAGGCCCTGCCAGTGAGAAAGCAGACCCTTCGCTGAGGTCCAGCAGGATAATCCAGCTCTCCAGGGGCAGAGAGTTGAGAGTGGTCCAGGGGAGTGAAGCAGGAGACGCGAGGCTGCCCCGGGTGGAAGTGATCGTCGACTGCTCTGACAGGCAGAAGACAGAAGGGTGCAGGCTTCAGGCAGGAAAGGGGTGTGTGGATTCTCCAGGGGAAGGAGGGCAGTCAGAAGCACCTCCTTCTCTGGTATCCTTTGCCGTCTCATCAGAAGGCACAGAGCAGGGGGAAGATCCACGCTCAGAAAAGGACCACAGCAGACCTCACAAGCACCGAGCGCGGCACGCACGTAAGTCCTGCCCGGGGTCAGTGCCTGGGCTGTCAGAAGGGGCTTGGGAGTTGAGGGACATTTTGTTGCTGCTTTGCTTGCATGATTTTTTTTTTTAAAGATTTTTCTTATGTTTGTCATTGGCTTTTAAAAAAACATTTAATTAATGCACAAAATAACAAATGCGAGATTGTGGAGAATACCAATTTCCGAATGGCAAGCGAGAAGTTTGAACCTTATAGTGGATTTAAATGTTTTTCATGGATTTCTTTTTATCCCCAAAGGCACAGGAATTGTTAAAGAAAATAATATTGTCAATGTGCCTTTTTCAGTTTGTTTCAGAAACTTACAATATTTCTTGTTAAAATAGCATAAGAGCATCTGAAGTCACGTGGACTCGGAGTTTAAATGTCAAAAACTGTTGAGTCTGCTCCTGAGATGTGTCTTTAAAATACAAGCCCTACCACTGATATTAAAAGCAGATCCTCATTTTGAAAAAAAATCATTGTGCAGCTTGATGATGCTTGCAGAAGTGGGTTTGACAGACAAGGACATGTGTGATACTGAGCAGTTACACGGTCCTCCCCGTTTGTAAGTTTCACTAGCCTGCAAAGTGTTCATCTACCTTCTAGACACAGGAGTCAGTCTCCAGGGCCATGTGGAGGCATTTAAGTGTCCCCAAACAGAAAATATATTTCAATTCCAGCCTTTTTGTGGCATTTTGTTTTACCCAGGGGAGTGAGGACAGAAAGGAGAATGAGCATAAGAGTGGAAGTTAGGTGTTATGATTTGGTGTTATTTTCTTTCATGTATTTGTTTCTTTTTTCACTAAAATTTCATTTGAGGATGTAAAGTCTGACAGGCAAAGGCGCTTGAATGTATGGTTGTACACAACAGCAGTGCGCTCGCCTGTTCCAAGTGGCATATTAGTCTTCTAACCTATTGTTATCCCTTTCAAAGCATATTTTTAGCATAACCACTTGCAGCTTTATTGGCAAGTGCTGTTAATCATTCCTTATACTTTACGCATCTGGACACCATCTCCACATTTATAGCATATTAAACCAGAGTATTAAGACATCATTCACATACTTTACATGTTGGCAGTGGAGTTAGCAACAACTGTGCAACTGTGACTGTCAATTTAAAAAGTTGTATAACACTAGTCAAAAAAGGAATTACATTCAGTAATAACCACATTTTTAACTATTTTCTCTATGCAAAATTTGATCATCAGTAAATATATGTAACTTTGACAGACAAGGGCATGTGTAATATGTCCTTATTAAATAATCATAAAATTATATCCTCTGATTAAATTTTATTTTTTTAATTTAATCATTGTTTGATATTTTCTTCCAGTGACAAAAAAGCTCATTTTCAATCATAAAATATTCAAAAATTTTTTCTGAATTTTCCATTTAACTATTTTGAGGAATTGAAAACTTTTTTTGAGAATCGTACTTATTATCATTGAAAACATGGTTGATTATAAATTATAAATTATGGATGCTATAAATTAATTTGCCACCCCTTTATTTTTGATAAGAATAAAAGAAAAAATTTAAATGTAAACTTTTTATAACTGTCATACTTTTAAATGACTTAATTTCTGCACCAGTTTTTACAAGCAGTAAGGAGTCACAAGTCATATAGTTTTTAAATGTCTCCAAGATTTACACGTATATCTTGTTGTAATTAAAGTATTATATTTCCAAAATACCAAGGCATTTATTTGTCTAGACAACTTTGTAGCTAGAGTTTCTTACATACATTCACAATGACAATTATAGTCTGAATTATAACTAATTATTCATTCAGTACTTTCAGTGATAAATTCAGTGTTTTAATTTATATTAATTTAGTAGCTGTGAATGGAAAGATTTGAGGCAGTTGTCAGGGTAAGAAAAAAAAAGAAAAAGAAAAAGGGGAAAACCTACATAGCTAATTACATTACATTAAAACATCTAGAAAATTTTTAAACATTTTCTTGAGATACCCCCCTCCCTTTTTAAGATACCTGGAAACAGTTTTACATTGACATTTTATTTTTTAAATATGGAAGTACAAGGATGTATTATCCTGTTCTTTAGAAAATATTATGTACTTTTCAATTTTAGTTTATATTCTATTAACGGGCATTTACTAACCACTTTATTGTTACAGTGTCAAGATTCATAGAGAAACACATGTACGAAACAAGCATTCTCAGCAACATATACAAAAAATGGAACAGGGCATTATATAGTATTATATATAGTTTATTATTATAGAAGTATAAATTTTAAAGGAAATAAGAAAGATAAATGCGTTGGATTCCTTCAAAATTCAGTACCCAATTGTAAGATTGTTCCATATTCCTTTTCCCCCCGGGGAAGGCAATTTCTGGGTTGCTGTGGTGTCTCCTTGAACTCATCCGCTCAATATATTCCTTCACTTCCCCAGGGCTCAGGAGGAGTGAAAGCTTGTCGGAAAAGCAAGTGAAAGAAGCAAAATCCAAATGCAAAAGCATCGCCCTCCTGCTCACGGACGCCCCCGAGCCCAGCTCCAAGGGGGTGTTGATGTTTAGGCGGCGCCGGCGCCGGGCGCGGAGGTACACGTTGGTGAGCTACGGCACCGGCCGGCCGACACGCGGAGACGCGGAGGAGGACGGGGACGAGGACGGCGCGTGCGCAGCGGAACTTCCGGGCTCCAGCGAGTCGGAGGCGGACGAGGGCGAGGAGCTGCCGTCCGACGTCGACGGCGGCGCGCCAGTTGTGAACTTCGACTGGGACTCGGGGCTGGCGGGCGTGGAAAGGAAACTCAGCAGCGGGGACAAGATGGAGATGTTGCCGGACACCACGGGCAAGGGAGCCCTCATGTTCGCCCGGAGGAGGGAGAGAATGGATCAGATCGCGGCGCTGAGGGACGAGGACGGGCCGCGGGCGGCGCCGGGCCCGGGAGCCCCGACTCCTCACGGGACGGACGCGGGCCCGGCGGGGGCGCGGGGCTCCGTGAGCAGAAGCTACCTCGAGCTGGGCCGCGGCCCCGGTGCCGGCGGGGCCCCCGAGACGGCGCACGCGCAGAGGGCGACCCCGACCAACAGGACGGCGCAGCCCTTCCCGGGGCCCGCCCTGCAGCCGGCAGCCCCCTTCTCCCCGACGCGAAGCGTGACGAGCCCCGTCGCCGACTTCCCTGCGCCGCCGCCTTACTCGGCGGTTGCCCCTCTGCCCGATGCCCTCGCCTTAGCGGGCTCGAGCCCGGCACAGCCCCCTCCGTGGCCCCAGCCAGCCCCTTGGGCCCAGCCCGCCTTCTACGACTCTTCTGAGCGCATCGCCTCCCGGGACGAGCGGATCTCCGTGCCTGCAAAGAGAACAGGCATCCTGCAGGAGGCCAAGAGGAGAAGCACCACGAAACCCATGTTTACTTTTAAAGAGCCCAAAGTCAGCCCAAATCCTGAACTCTTGTCACTCCTTCAAAATTCAGAAGGCAAACGGGGCACTGGAGCTGGGGGTGATTCCGGGCCGGAAGAAGACTACCTCAGCCTGGGGGCAGAGGCCTGTAATTTCATGCAGGGCGCCTCTGCTAAGCAAAAGACCCCACCTCCTGTTGCTCCCAAACCTGCAGTCAAGTCCTCGTCCTCCCAGCCAGTAACTCCAGTGTCCCCAATCTGGTCTCCAGGAGTGGCTCCAGCGCAGCCTCCTGCCTTCCCCACGTCAAACCCGTCGCAGGGCACTGTTGTCTCCTCGATCAAAATAGCCCAGCCTTCCTACCCTGCCGCCCGGTCCGCCAGCTCTTTGAACCTGGCTGGTCCCTTCAAAGGGCCACAAGCAGCAGTAGCCAGTAAGAATTACACATCTAAGCCACCAGCTCTTACCCCGACAGTCAACGCTGCTTGTGCTGGTGCACTGGGACCATCCAATGAGCTTCCGGGAATGAGTGGGAAAGGAGCCCAACTCTTCGCCAAAAGGCAGTCGAGAATGGAGAAGTATGTGGTCGATTCAGACACGGTGCAGGCCCACGCTGCTCGAGCCCAATCTCCCACTCCCTCTCTGCCGGCCAGTTGGAAGTACTCGCCCAATGTCCGAGCACCTCCTCCCATGGCCTACAATCCCATCCACTCCCCCTCCTACCCTCCGGCTGCTGTCAAGTCTCAGCCGTCAGCCGCACAGCCCTCCAAAATGGGCAAGAAAAAGGGCAAGAAGCCCCTTAATGCTCTGGATGTCATGAAGCACCAACCATACCAGCTCAATGCATCCTTGTTTACTTTCCAACCTCCAGGCACAAAGGATGGCCTCCCCCAAAAGTCACCAACCAAGGTCAATTCAGCCCTGGCCATGAAGCAAGCTCTTCCCCCGCGGCCAGTGAATGCTGGCTCACCCCCCAACGTGCAGGCTTCGTCGGTGTACTCGGTACCGGCCTACACCTCTCAGCCTGCCTTCCTTGCAGAGGCCACCTCGCCGGTCAGTGCCTCCCCAGTGCCTGTGGGCGTCCCCACCTCTCCAAAGCAAGAATCAGCCTCCTCATCTTATTTTGTGGCACCAAGGCCAAAGTTCTCAGCCAAGAAAAGTGGTGTCACAATTCAGGTGTGGAAACCATCTATTGTGGAAGAGTAATCTTGTAGCTCAAGCTGAGTGTCCACTTTGCTTGAAATGAATTGTTTGCAGTGTTACTTGAGTCCCTGAGAATGCCTAGCAAATCCTTGACTTACTTAATTTCATATATGTCACCTCCCAATCTGGGTCCAAGGAGCATAATATTTTTAATGAGTCAAAAATCCAACTCAGATTGACTTTAAACATATCTTCTTTGCACACTTAAAAAATCCAGAAGCACCCTAAAATAAACATGTGCCATTATATTAAGTAAGCGGGATACTTAGGATTTATGCTTTAGTCACAAGAAAGACAGTGATCAGTGTTACCAGACTTCAAGACACAAACTTCAGCTATTATGTAAGCATAATAGCTGTGCTCCTTTAGTGAAAAGGTTCGAATGTAGTGAGAATGTAGCCTGTACTGACTGAGATCTCCCTTTTAAGCAGTGCTTTCTCTCTATTACTAATGTAAGGGAATAAGAAATCTATCGAGGACAGGGATCAGCTCTGGTCTGTCATCCTCAGCCACCCTTTTGATGTTGCACAGAGGTGCTCTGAGGACTGTTGGAATGTACATGGTTTAGTAAGAAGTGGGTAAGAAAGAGGGTCTTAATAATTACGGAGCACTTACTGTGTATTAGGTTTTTTTGCCAGATGTTTGTACATATATTAACTAATTTCAGAAGACACATTTAAAGTAAATGGGATTGGGCAGGAAGGATAACTGTCCTTAGAGATGGTTCCCATCCTCCCTCCTCAGTTACTTAAGGAACTATGTGAGCACATCTCCCATTTCCCAGGAAGGCATAACTTAGTTTTCCTCAGCAGAGGCAAGTGGAAGGGTACGGTGAATGAAGTAACGTGTGGAGAGCAGGATGCACATAAAGGTGCGGTGCCTGTTGTGTGGCCGTGGGAAACCACGTGATTGGGACCTGAAGGATTACTGACTACAGGGGCTGACGGTGAAGCACGAGGAACCTCGGGCACTTGGAGACTGCAGGGGGAGGACACACAATTATTAGCATCACTTCTGAGTGACCTCACAGATTTCTTTTCTTGTGTTCATTTGCTTTTTGACAACTGCTTCTCCACTGTTCCTTGCAGTTCTATCCGTGCACCTCACTGTTATTTATGTTTGATGGACCAGGATAGCTCAGGCAAGGTTACCTTGTACATTCGAATTAGTCACACTCCAGATCGTCGTCCGGCTGGCTAGAAAGTGAATAATGGTACGGAGAGTAAACCTGAAGACCTTTCTGAGATCTATTTTAGTCTGATGGAAAATATTAAACATGAATTAATGTAGAGAACTGTTAAGCATTTATGACAGCTCCCGGGAACACCATCTACTCTATGCAAGAGATATGTTGAGAGATCTCTCAGAAAAACGTGCCTGGTTTGAGGGTACACAGTACCATTGTAATCCTCTGAAAATATCTGTATTCCTGTTCTTTTTCTGCTGTCACTGTCAATCTGCTATATTTTTCACTATTCTATTAAAATATTACTTTCTTCTTTATCTGTTCAATGTCCATATTTTTAAAAAAGTCTTCCTTGTATGAGCTATTCTGATGTAAGTCATTTCTCTGGTATTTCTCTCACGGGCTCCCATAACAATTCCCTTTTTGAGCATACCCATCTCTCTATACATCGTAAAACTGCAAGCCTTAGGTATTTCCAAAACATAACACACAAAGAGGAGAACTAAGTCAGTTACAGAACAATGGGGCTAATTCTGCTTTTTCTCTGAAAAATCTTCCATTGCTTTTGGTGGCACTTTACCTAGAGGTTACAACCGCAGAGTGTAGCTCGGTGTCATACTTGCCTTTTTGGGAAATCAATTAGGAAGATTAATACAGGATAAAGGAAAAAATAATCTATCCATTATATAACACAGTTATTTGTATTACTTGTCCCCTGCAAAGGAAATCTGTTGAATGCTGTGCATTTTGCATTCTTTTCTAATAGAACAACCAAAAAAGGCTTCTTAAGGAGAGGCAGGAAAGGAGATCATTTTTATGGCTTTGCATTCTTAACATAGCATTTAAAGAACAGCATGAATTAGAGGAAGGACGTGGAACACAAGTAGTCAATTTGAGATAATCGATTCAAAAGTGTCCCAGAATGATAATGACCCAGAAGTATTTCCAGAGCTTTGTGGTATGTAGGAATGAGAAGTGTTTTCAGTTCATTTCCTGTTGGACAGGTGGCAGTCTTAGCAGAGCCGTTGTTTGGAGGTGATGACTAAAGACACAACTAACATGACTGTGTCTTCTAGTCATCCTAGGACTGTCTGGGGTTCCCCCAAACCTTCTAAGAGGCATGTCAGGTATGCATGCAGTTAAAGCATTTACAATTTCGACTGAGAACTGGTAGTATAGGTCTCGCTCTGACGGATATGAGAAGTGGGAGGGAGCGCTAACCTGCTCCCTGGAGCGAGAGGGATTTCCTTTCCCTATTTTCCTCCCAACCCCCTAGGGTGCTGTATGTGGCATCTTCCAACTTAGGTCTATGCAAGTGATGTCAGTGTGGCAGGTGGGAGGGGTAGAACTCAGGACATCAGCTTCCCTCCTGCTGGGCACCTTTTGGAATCAGAGTGCTGTTGGTTTATTTGTGGTGATGGTTGGTTGGCTGGTCATGAGGTTTGGGGAGTCATATTTTGTTTAGTGTTTAGCACCTTGCCTCTTCCCTTGTCCTCTATTAGCTTAATTTCTCGGCAGAACACCCATGAAGTCAGTTTTCGTCTTCAGCTCAACAGCAATGATAATTTACTGAGTGGCTATGTTACGTTAGGGACCTTACGTGTATCATCCCAAGGAATCCACGGCATGGTTTATACAGACGCTGGGATAGAAACTGAAAGGTAATCAGTCACTGACTTTCTGCAGGACCTTCAACAAATTTCTCTTTCTATGAGTTTCCCCTTAATAATGTGTCAGCCCTCTCTTCCTGCCCAGAGTGTTAGGCTGCAGTGAGTCTGCGTAACACAGATTCTAGGAGGAAGAGAGGTGCTGTTAAATATAAATACGATATATTCCCCTCAGTCTCGTTGGAGGACAGATTGGGAATCTGAGCATTGCCACCTTAATCTTAGAACATTTACAACTTTATTTCTAGTATTTTATTAATAGATACATCCAGTTTTGAGAGAGGAAAAAACACAATTTCTGCATTGATAGTGTAAAGCATACATTTTTTAGGACTGCGTTTCATATGACATATTTAGGTTATCATTCTAGAGCATGTAAAACTTTGTACTTCAAAATATATCTAGTATGATTATTAGTGTTAATGTATATCAAGCCTCTGCACTAACAGTCTCATTTGTTCTTCACAAGAAGCAACTTATTTTCAGCATAGGAAAACCAATCAGAGTAACAGATAGCTGTTTAAAATAAGCCTGTGTTATTTAACTATTCTAGACAATGCTGACTTCTTTCAAGAAACAGTCATTGAAGGACAGCTAAGTATTATCACACAGCCTAAATTCTAGCCTTGGCAAGAGTCACATCTGAGATGTACAAAAAAAAAGAAAAGATCTACATTTAAAGGGGGTGAACTAACACACGTAGGACCGTTTTCTTACTTGCAGTTACTGGATTAAAGAACTTCGAAGGTCGTTTTGCTGCTGACAGGCATATCGAACACTCTATGCGTCTCTTCCACAGTTCAAGCCTCTTAAGAGCGAAATGCACATGTCTGCTTGTGTCTGAGCTGAGATTTACGCTTTCAGATAAAAGCCCCTTGCTCTGTGTCACTCCATGCAGTTATAAACCATAGAACCTGCAAGCACCACATCCTAAGAGAGAGTTCCTGAAATCAGTTGCTATTTTATGAGTCACCACCAGCTGCCAGAAAGGGCATTTGAAGTCACAGTCATCAAAAAGAAGTGATTGTTTTCTGAAAAGCCAAATGTTTAGAACCCTTCCAGAGGAAAGTGGCGGGGTGTGTGCTGTTCCCTCCTAAAATCAGGGTTGTTGAGTTTGTTTTAAAAAAATTTTATAAGTTCATGAGAAAAATATGTCAATTCTAAGAACCAACATTATATTCCCATAAACAATGACCCTTGCTGGTCTTATGTCCCCATATCATTGGACTCTGGGGGACACAAAGACTTGTGTGACCCTTCAGAGTTGCTGAGTTAGTCAACAAGTATTCTGGGAAAAATCAGAAATGAATTCTTCTCTAGACGTTCCATCAGGGTTGGCCAAGGGCCAGAAAGCAGGCCAATAAATTCCCACAGGACCCAAACACCAGGCAAAGTTGCTCTAAGAGGCCAGTCTCCGTTTATCCCTCTACAGTTTTAAAAAACAAAAGTGCAGCCATCGCAGGTCATCCTGTGAGCATCAGGCCAATAAAAACCGTCTCCCAGTGGAGCCCTCGAGTCAGAGCACCTGGATGTTCTCAGGTGCAGCCAGTTTCCCAGTTAAAAGAAAATCCAAAAACTTATGTTTCTATGGAATGTATATTTGTACGCTAAACTACTACTTGGCTCTTGGAAATCAGAGAACTACTCAGAGGCAATTAAATGAACAGAAATTTAATTAAAAAATACCAAATCTGTCAGACATTTCTCAGACTCCTGATTTTATCAAAGGCTTACCAGCTACTAAAGTACATCTCAAATGCAGAGAAGAAAGTTAGACTTCTAAAGCGTCCTATAGTTTAAGTAATTTTTTTGTTATTCATGCACATAATTTTTCAAATTTTCATTTTTTCGGTTCTAAATGTAAAGCTCTTCATGTTTATCTCCGTTTATCTCATTCTTCACATTTATCTAAATTAGCTGTGGTTTGTGATCGGTGAAATATAAATTCGAGTCCCTAACCCGAATATCACAAGGACCTGCTTTCCAGCCCACCCTCCTTCCTCTACTTGATCGTGATAATACTCAAAATTGTAACATTCAAAGTTCCCATCGAGAAATCCTGCTTTCACAGCTCCTACTTCTTGAGCAACTTGGTAACTATTAATGGTTTGTTCATGAAA